GTGTGCGTTTCCAAAACGTATCCGTTTCCAAATATTTCGTTTCCACGTATCCGTTTTCGTTTCCATGCAACCTAGCAACCATCTAGTACTACAAATTTTCTTTTCTTTTTTTTTGCTAAAGAATACTACAAATTTTCAACGAAGTTAAAAGTACATCTACTGACAAAAAAAGGAAAATGTACAACTTGGCTAAGTAAGCTATCACTGGGCAATTAAAATATTTTGATCATTCAGAGTATATAGTAAATAGTAGTATGAGATTAGTTTAAGTTGCTTCCTCTGTGTTCCATTGGTGCACTTACAATTAGCACACAAGCTAAATCGTTTGGTCAAAGAGCTGTTAAAAACAAACAATTAATTTGGTAGTTTAAACTAAAGTCATTCGTAGAAAACTAGATAAAGATAACCTCAAAGCTTTGTCCAAGGAAAACATAAAAGTTTTTGCATCTTTTTGACAGTGATGTAATTGAAATGTCTAACTCACATACTCACAAATCATTAGTCAATTCAAAATATTCATATCTCTATCTCCACATAGACAAGACATATATGATTTTGAGAAGTAAACGAACAAAAAAAACAGAGCAGAGGTAAACATCTGAATTCTTCTTGTCCCAATACATTTGCAATTTGCAAACAGCTTCAATCCAATTTCCCAAAACCTCTTAGAAAATTCTTTAAAAACCCACCAAACAAACAACACCAAGAAAGACAAACAACACCAAAGCAAAATCCCTCTTCTTCTTGTTTACCACAAAACACAAAAACAGAGCAGAACCCATTAAGAGAAGAAGAAAGAAGAATACTTGAAAATGGTTTTCTCAGTTTCCGTATTTGCTTCTCTTGTACCATACATAGTCTCAGCATTACTTCTCTTCCTTCTCCTCGAACAACTCTCTTACCTTATCAAGAAACGTAACCTCCCTGGTCCACTCTTCGTACCTCCGATCATCGGAAACGCCGTTACACTCGTCCGTGATCCCACTTCCTTCTGGGAGAAGCAATCCGCAACGGCCGGAATCTCCGGTGGTCTCTCCGCAAACTACCTCATCGGAAAATTAATCGTCTACATAAGAGACACAGAGCTTTCTCATCAAATCTTCTCAAATGTTCGTCCCGATGCTTTCCACCTCGTCGGACATCCTTTCGGCAAGAAGCTATTCGGTGATCACAATCTCATCTACATGTTCGGCGAGGATCACAAGTCCGTTCGCCGTCATCTCGCTCCAAATTTCACTCCCAAGGCATTCTCCACTTACTCTGTTTTACAGCAGCTAGTCATCCTCCGTCATCTACGGCGGTGGGACGAGAGTTTCTCCGGCGTATCTCGTCCGGTCTCGCTGCGGAACCTCGTCCGCGAACTCAACCTCGAGACATCTCAGACGGTCTTCGTTGGACCGTACCTCGACAAGGAAGCGAGGAGCAGGTTCCGTACGGATTACAATCTGTTCAATCTTGGTTCGATGGCTCTCCCAGTAGACCTCCCAGGTTTCGCGTTCGGCGAGGCTCGCCGGGCGGTGAAGAGACTGGCGGAAACACTCGCCGTATGCGCGGGAAAATCGAAAGAGAGGATGGCTTCAGGAGAAGAACCGACGTGCTTAATCGATTTCTGGATGCAAGCGATCGTCGCGGAGAATCAACCGCCGCCGCACTCCGGCGACGACGAGATCGGCGGTTTCCTCTTCGATTTTCTCTTCGCCGCACAAGACGCGTCCACGTCATCACTTCTCTGGGCGGTGACGATGCTCGATTCGGAGCCGGAGGTGCTAAGCAGAGTGAGGGAGGAAGTCGGGAGGATCTGGTCGCCTGAGTCCAACGCGTTGATCACCGTCGATCAGATGACGGAGATGAAGTACACGCGCTCGGTGGCGCGTGAGGTCATAAGATTCCGACCACCGGCGACTATGGTCCCACACGTCGCTGCTACGGATTTCCCTCTCACGGAATCGTACACAATCCCAAAAGGTACGATTGTTTTTCCTTCGGTTTTCGATTCCTCGTTTCAAGGGTTTACTGAACCGGACCGGTTCGATCCGGATCGGTTTAACGAGACCAGGAAAGAGGATCAGGTGTTCAAACGCAACTTTTTGGCGTTTGGGTGGGGACCGCACCAGTGCGTGGGGCAGCGTTACGCGCTGAACCACCTCGTGCTCTTCGTCGCAATGTTCTCGACGCTCTTTGACTTCAAGAGGTTTAGATCGGACGGCTGCGATGAGATCGTTTACAGCCCCACGATTTCGCCCAAGGACGGGTGCACGGTGTTCTTGTCTAGGCGCGTCGCAGCGTATCCGAACTTCTCTGCTTGAATTGGATTTGGAATTTTTTTGTTTTTTTACATGTGGTCAACGTCAAGATTGTGATTTTATGATTTGTTCGTGATGTGTCTCTCGAAGTGAGTGGCATTTTTGAATTTTATAAAATTGTGTCATTGCTTTGTCATGTCTTCAGCGATCTTTTGTCTTTTTTGTTTTCTAGGTACCACAGTGAACTTATAACGAGTTTGATAAAAAAAAAACGAGTTTCATATGTGTTAATTTGGAGTAAGTGGCATTCAACGTCATGGACTTTGTAACCAATGTCCAATGATAGATAACCGGAAAAACTTTGAAAGATAATGAGAAAATACATTATTTTTTTAAAGTTTCTAGAAAACATATGTCCGTTTAATAGGATACGAAATGAAAATTTTCAAACTTTTACACCTTCAAATTAACAAAAACGAAAAACGATGTTAAATTCAAAACATGTGACTAACAAAATTTTGATTTAAAAAAAGAAAAAATACACCAACTAAATAATAAGTGGCACAAAATAGTGTGGATTACCATTACAATAAGGCTGACTATTCATTTTGTTCTTCAGTAATAGTTGGACATCATCAATTTTTTCATCTCTCCTTGTCATGCGTATCAAGGACCTTTTACTTCGTGTTTGACGGACATCAATCTACGAGTTGTGGAAAGAAAAGAATCGTTGTCTCCACACAAACACATCCTGTCCGTGACCCATTTCAACATCATCGACCGAACTAATAGAAACATAGCCTTCTCCTTCATACTAACTAACCTGACCTTTGCGCAACACAACTATATCAGTTCCGACATTATTAATTGTTTTTATTTGTCAACGAACCACATTGATTAAATCGATTGTAATCGATGTGGTCATTGTCCCATAAGGCAAACCATTTTGGATATGCCTGAT